TTGAGGACTGTTTTTCAAAGTCCTACGTATCTTTCTGATGACACACCATCGGATATAACTTCATCCTGTGTCATCTCCACTTGCAAAGAGGGCTTGAAAGTGGCTTAATTCTAAATGATGGTTTACCCCAGAGAGAAGAGAGTTCTATATCTCAGCACACAGGAAGAAATGGGTATTTACAATCTTTACATTGGTAACACTTAAAAATTAGGAGATTTTTACCTGGATAATACTTCTCGTAGATGTAGGGCTAGTTGAAAGTTATTTAACCTCTAGACCAATAATTTCTGCATCTATTAAATACAGAGGCATCTCCAGCCTCGTGGTGATCAAGTAATGGACTGCAGAAAGCACAGACCAAGTGCATGGATTGGCACAGTGTCCCTCCCTCTCCTCTCAAGTTATTGAGTAACTTAGTTCCAATTTAATGGCATTATACCTCAGTACCTTGTTCAAAAAGCCCCAGAGAATGATTACTGTCCTGCCTATGGAGCATATCCAGCCTTGAACCCATTTGTTGGGTAGAGTTTGTGGAGAAAGAAAAGTAAAGCCTGACATGATGCTTTCAACAGGTGTTTTCTTCACTTTAGTGTGGCTCGCAGATGGTAAATCAATGCAATCCTGAGCAGTTCATCTTTTTTTTTTTTTTTTTTTGTGAGACAAGGTCTTACTATGCAGTTTAGGCTGGCCTTAAACTCACGATGTAGCTTAGGCTGGCTTCAAACTCATGGTGGTCCTCCTGCCTCAGCCTCTGGAGTGCTGGGATTATAAGCATGTGCCACAGCACTGGGCTCCCTGAACATTTGGAGGTGGCAGCCTTTCTTCTCCATTTGACCCCATGCCAGGAGAGCAGATCCAGGCTCTTGCTATAGCCACACACACTTCGCCTATGGAGTCCACACTGGTAACACAATCTCTGCCTCCTCTTCTGAGGCATCTGCACCCTATAACCATCCAGTCAGAGCCTGGGTGGAAGCCAGGGATGCAGAGGTGTGGAAGGGAAGATCTCTACTTCTAAGAAACCATCTTTTAGTGAGGGTGACCAAGATGCAAACAGATAGTGCCACCTGGAGCTCCTGTGCGGAAGGAGCAGGGAACAGAGACCTTGTCTCAGCTTGGGGTGGGAGGGGGACGCTGAGGACTTTATGGAGGTGGAGGTGTCCGAGCCATGTCTCTCAGGATGACTTTGAGTCTTCCTGGGTGGAGAAGGCAGCAAGAGACAGGTAAGGCTTCCTAGGAAAGAGAAGTGCAAGGACAAAGACTTGGTGGGATATCAGACTACAGCATGTTGAGACCTACGGGAGGTTGGTGATGGTTAAACCACATAGGAGCAGACAGAGGCAGAGGTGACAGCCTTCTCTCCTTCACCGTGGAAGGCCCCTGAACCTGATGTTGGGAGTTTGGTGCTCCAGCCCCTCTTCTCTGGAATTCCCAAAGCAGAGAACGTCCCATTGGTGCCAGCAGGGAAGCAGAGTGGACAGGTTGGGAGACAGAGTGATGAAGTGCCCATTGCTGGGTGTTGGATCACTTCAACAGCTACTTCTGCTTTGGGGGTTCTGTGATTCAGGATGCTCTCTGGACAGTTTTCACAGGTAAGTTTTTCTGGAAACATTTGGCCTTATACTTCCTTTTCTTAGCAGTCCTCAATTTCTTTAAATAGAAAGCATGCAAGAATTAAGACAATTCTGTATGCCCACATGGCTCTAAACAGCCACTTTCACATTCTGTCTCTTTCAAGCCTCACAGTTAATTGTGAGTAAAAATAATTAGCCTATTTCTCATCACATGAGGATCCACAGCAATAGAGTGGGGACTGGATGTGAGACTGCCTGACTCTGAAGGCTGCCTGGCTTCTGCCATCCCAGAGGTCCTGAGTTGGTTGGGTGGAACTTTCTTGGTTCTCCCTTCCTTGCCTCCTCTCCTTAGCTGTCAAGCTCCTGTTTTGCTGGGAACTTTTCCTGCAGTCTGACTTTGAACTGGGACAGTAGCCAATGATTCCAGAAGAGACACCTGGAAGTTGGTGAGGTCAGGCTCTTCCTCATAGAACCGGCCTTTGTTGGGTAACTTATGGTTGACTGGTGAGTTGTTGCCACAGGTAGTTTATAATGTCCCAGCACCAGCAAAGATTAGAACTGAAAGAGGCCTCTCACAGACCTACTGGAAGAGACCCACTCACAGCAAGCCCTCCTTTGTGCAAATGAGGACATAGAGGTACAGTGTGGGAGAGTGGGTTGTGCATGGTCAATCAGGGAGGTAGTGGAGTCTAAAGTAACTCCATGAGAATGTTGTGTTTGGATTCACCATCTCCCTCTCTAAAGGGTTTTTGGCTTAGGAAGAGATGCAGTAAGACAGGCATGAGCCCAGACATGCACATGTGTGGCAGGGAGCTGTGCTGGCTCAGAGATGCGTAGGAACTTCGAAGAGAGTGGGAGAGGGTGTTAGGGTTCTGCTGACTTGGGAATTCTCATCAGTGAGTGGGCCGCACTCAGCAGAGCCCTGGGGGCAAGAGCATGTAGGGCCGAGTGGGCAGCTAGGGGAGGATACGTCTCTTGGGAAGGACAACTTTTGCACACGAGGAAACAGCACCCAGACAAGTGGCTTAGGAAGAGCATAAAGCCAGGAAGCACTCGAGCCAGGACTCACAGCCAGCCTCATGAACCACTAAACATTCAGTTCAATTCCAGGTTCTACTGTTTTCTAGCTGTGTGTTTTTAGCAGCTCACTTAACATCTCTGAGCATCCACCACTCCACTGTAAAATGAGGTCAGCAAGATAATTAAATAGAACTATAACAATGGGACCAATGTCTGGTACACAGCGGCTATGAATTTCCCAGTGAGGTCTTCTGCTCTGCCTTGGAGCCTGGGAAAAACTACCTGAAGCAAGGGAGAGAGGGAATTGTCACTGGTATTTTAGACTTAAACGTGTGGGGAACCCCAAGTGTGGAGGTACCTGGTGCGCTGGGGAGCAGGCAATGGTGTCACATGTGTGAGCAGAAGTGGTCGCTGGATAGGGGAGCTGGCAGGCCCTGTAGGGCTCCATCCTGTGTGTCACGGGGAGAATTTTGCACTCAGCCGTCCAAGCAAAGAGAAACCACCAGCTGTTTTTAACCCAGAAAAAGAGCCGAATTCTTCAAATTGTCCGTAGTGATTGAGTGTCCAGGTGTGTGTGGACACAGGGGGCTCGTAAGAACCAAGTGCAGTGTCCTGGAAACCAACAGGGAACCTGCACCGGGGAGGCACTCACTTTGTGCTGATGGCATGGGCAGGAGAGATCACCTGGCTCGGAAACTCATTCAGTGTGAAGGGCAAAGGAGAAAGAGGCTCCACGATGTTTTTCTCTTCTGTCACAGCCTGAAAAGTTCTGTGTGTCAAAGGCACTGTAAACAAAGTGGGAATGGATAGGGAAAAGTATTCCTTACATAGATTGAAGACAATAGATTATAAGTATTAAATAACACTAAGAATAAAGTTTTATAGAAACCTAACAGAAAATGATAATGAATTAAAACAAAACAGAAGAAATATAAATAGGTAACAAATTTTTGAAAAGAAACTGAATTTCACCAGTGCTTAGGGAAAGAAAACACTAATTAAATGCATATTACATTGAAAAAAACCTTAAGAATCAAGCAGTGCCAAAGTGGATAAGCACATGAGCACATGAAAAAATGAGCACATTCCTGGTATAGGTCTAAATTGTTCCCGCCATTTGGTGATGGGTCTACCCTGCATCTCAGAATTTTACATAGAAGTGTATGCTCAGTGGATGCTATGTACACACACTCACACACACACACACACACACACCAGAAATACACAGACAAACCTAACACAATCTATAGAGAGGACCTGCAGCAGCCCCATCCGGTGGAATACTATACAACAGGAAAGTTAACTGGGCCGTTCTGGCTTCAGCTAAAGTGGAGTAGTGTCTCTTCACTAATTCCAACTAGAAACCCTGGAGTGAATGAGAAAAGCAACCATCCAAGAACTCTGAAAAGTAAACAACAATAGGTAGATTAGGGAAGGAACTGAAAACTAGAAAAGCACAAATATAGGGGGCATATTATCAAAAAAACAGAAGCCATAGGAAGTCTGTAGAAAGAAAAGAAAGAGATTTCCCAAGATCTGCCCTCAGTAAACCATAGACTAGGAATGAGTGGTCTGGTGTCAGTCCACAAGCTGTCAACCGGAGACCAGAGTGCTGACTTTCAGTCTGAGTTTGAAGGCAGGAAAGAAACCAGTGTCCCAGCTCAAGGGCACAGAGCAAGAGGAGTTTCCCTCCTACTTACGGGAGATTCAGGCTGGGGATATAGCTCAACGGTAGAAGTGCTTGCCCGGCAAGCCTGAGGTCATGAGTTTGATTCCCGGTACCAAAACAAAACTTATGGGAGATTCAGCCTTCCTATTTTATTCAAGTCTTCAGCTAAAGGAGAGCCACCACATGGAAGAGAGCAACTGCTTTGCTCAGTTGACGCAGACAGCAGACACACCCACTGTGATTTTTTATCAGACACAGACACAGACTGCAGACACACCCACTGTGTGTCTGGGTGCCCTTGGTCCAGTCAGTTTGACACATAAAATCACAGTGGGTAAGTATCAAGGAGTTTTTCCCCTTTTCTAATCTCCTTAGACCTGGGGCAGGCTGAGTACATGAATTATGTAGTAAGCACAAACAGTGAAACTCTAAGATAAACTATTTTTTTTCTGGCTAGAGAAGAAGGAAGGGCAGGCCCTACAGGACAAGGCATTTGGCACATTTTCCTTTCGTTTCCCTCTTTTAGTCTCTTAATTTCTTCCCAAGGTGAATCCTTATTGTGAACTTCACTCCTACAGGGGCAGTGGCAACAGTGATTTCTCAGACACCCGAAATTACAGAGAAAATTTTTCTGTTAGCCAGAACTGTGTAAAAGGACCCCTGTGGTCTAATGAATGTGGGTCGGGAAGGATTTCACTGGTTTTTCTCCCTGTTTTCTCTCACTGTTTCATTTTCAGGGAAGGCACCACTGTAGAGAAGATATGAGAGACAGGGACAATGGCCTTGTCCAGCTCACAGGGGGTCCTGTGTATGGGTGAGGAGGAAATTATGCAGAAGAGGAAGGTGAAGAAAGTAGCTCCTCAAAGTTGTGGTGAAATCCTGGCTCACTCCCAGGCTCAAGTACGAAGAACTGAGTAGAAGCAGCATAACACAGAATCGAGGCCTGAGCCACAGCGCAGTCCACCCTGAAGACCTCCTGGAAGTGCACCCACTAGGAGGGACACTGAGGCCTTGGAACTAAACTAACCTTAGAAGTTCAGCCCACAGAAGGAAGACTGCAGCTTGTAGTCTGGACCTAACTATGTCATTTAAAAGAAATTATCATTCCTCAGAAAACCTTAATAAGACCCAGCATCTCAGAATGTACTATTCAAAACGTCCAAGATACTATTAAAAAATTAACCCATATACAAAGAACAAAGAGCCAGGAAAATCTCCACAGCTCTCAAAAGGAAAGATACCAACAGACACCAATATTGGGCTCACCCAGATGTTGGCATAAGCAGGCAAAATTAAAGCAGATGTTACACTATGTTTCATGAAGTAAGGGCAAACATTACTGAAACAAATGGGAAGACAGAAGTGTCCAGTGAAGAAATAAAAGCTATGAAATATCAGGGAAATTTTACAACTGAGAAACACAATGATAGAAATAAATAACACAATGGAAGGGACCAATCGTGTAATGGAGAGAGTGAATTTAGAAGTAGATCAAGGATTAGACTGTCTATATCTTCTTCTGTGGAGAGAGATAGTGAATATGTTAGACTCTGTTGGCCGTGAAGTCTGTGTCCCAACTACTGGCCTTTGCAATTACAGCCACAGACAATATGTAAATTAATAGGCTATGGTCTGATAAATTTTTATTTACCAAAACAAATAGGCCAGAAAACCAAATATTCTCAAATTGTTTTTGTGGCCAACATGATCTTAATATTAAAAACAGACAAATATAATGTTAAAAATTATTAACAAATCAAATTCAGCTTTACATAAAAAGGATAATATGGGGAATGGAAGTGTGGTTCAACACTTAAAATTCAAAAAGTAGTACTGTATGAATAGATGAAGGAAAAGCTACATGGAAATAGACACAGAGAAAGCAATGCACACTTATGTTAGACTCACCAAACTAGGAATAGCCGAGATCTTTTTTAATCTGACAAGGGACATCTACAAAAATCTGGAGTTACACACATCTCAGTGATATAGTGTTGAGTGAGAAAGGAAATTGCAGAATATTTATAGCATGATATGATTTATATACAATTTTAATACATGCAAAATTGCTACATGTTACTTATGGATAAGACATAAATGTTTCCAAGAGAATAGCAACTATTAAATAGGTTAGTTCCTCATCTGGAGAGGAAGAGAGGGCATAAGGTCAAAAACTGTCCTGCAAGGAGCCCATTGCTATGCTTGAATTCTTTTTTTAAAAAATATGAATCAAACATAACAAAATGATAAGACAGGAAGAGTTCAGTGGGAGAAATATGACCATTCCTTACACTATTCCCTATACTTTTCCTACATAATCACTATTTCATGTTTTTTCAAAATGTACAAGTACTCGCCATTTAAAATATTTGAAGACTGGGTCAGTGATATAGGTCAGTGGCATAAGTGCCTGCCTGGCAAGAGCAAGGTCCTGAGTTTAATTCCCAGTACCAGAAAAAAAAAAAGAAAGAGAAAAACCCAAAAAACCAAAAAAAACAAAAAATATGTGAATACTGGGATAAAGCACACATTGGATCTATGGGAGCACAAAGCCTCAGAGAAGGAAAAAGGCTGAATCTTAGGAGTTCTTTTGCAGGTAATGCCAATAATTCTGAGCACTTACTAATGTTAGACAGTATTTCCAAGGAGTACTTTCTAGAAGCAGAAGTCTGCACACCTGAAACCTGGAGATGTTAAATAGCTTGCTCTAAGTCAGAAAGTCAGTGAATGGAGGAGCTGGGATGAAAATTGTGCGAGCCGGTTTGAGATCCTGACCTGACTGCCTTGAGAATAGCCTATGACCCTGACCTGTTCAGAGCAATTGCTCTGCCTGCTGTGAGGACAACAGTGTAGACCCAGGCAAGGCTGATGGCAGGAAGACAGTCCACCGCTATCATCTCACCTTTCTCTCTCTTAAAGACAACAGGAACCATCCCTTATGGATGGAAAAGGGATCTGGGAAGCAGGGAGAGGGGAGGGAAGGCAGAGGAAGAGGAAGTAAGAATGATTAAGATATGATACATATTCCCCAAGATGAATGCAATTGTTATGTATCATAAACATATACCAGTTATAAAAAAACCCTTCTCTTTTCTTCCGATCGATTTCCTTAGTGAATCTTTGTATATTCTTACTGCAAACTTGTTTTGCTTTATATGTTTGGCAACTTCTTCTCCAGTCATAACTTATCTTTTCCTTTTGTTCATGGTGGCTTTTGTTGTATAGAAGTTTTTACTTCCTTCTGGAAAAAGGGTCTTGAGCAAGAAGAGAGAAGAGTTCAGGAGAGGTCAGGAAACTGCAGAAATTGTGGGATTCACTGAAGGTCCCTACTTCCTTTCAGAGCAGGCTGCTAAGCTGCAGGACACTCCATTCCTCTTGCTCTGTGCATGTCTCAGTGTCCCCATGGCTCCTGAAGGCTTAACCTGGCATTGTCCCCAACACCTAGGTGAGCACCTGTGAGGCTGACTCTCTTGACTTTTGGCAGCTGAAGTCCAGCCACTGGGGAGGGGGACCGTCCTTACTCCTGGGGTAGAGATGAGTGATGTGAACTTTCACAGGACTCAGTGCACACGGTTAAGTAAACTTTCCTTTATTGTGTGTGTGTGTGTTTTTCCAAAGGGTATGTGGTTAGCATTTCTTTCTTCTTGCAAGGATAGTGATATTCGATGGTAAATCAATCGCTTTCCAGTGTTCTTGTTTTGCCAAATAAAAAATTGGCAACATTGTCATTGCCTCAAAGTTATTTTTGTATTTTTCTTCTCAGTTAAATTTGTAAAAGAATCTGAGAACAAAAGTCACAGAAGAAAGAACACAGGCTTTTAAGTCTCAAAACATGTGTTTCCACTTTGGTCACATGCACTAGCTCTGCATGGAGGAGGCAAGTCACTCGGGCACATCTCTGTTACTGAAGTGGGGTGACTGTACTCACCTAAAGGAGGTGGCGAGGATGAGATGGTTCCACGCATGGTTCCCTACAGATTTATTTTGCTGCCCTCACCCTCCTTGGCAGGAGAGACTGGATTTTATTTGCATGTCCTGACAGTTACCCAGTTTAGTAGATCATAGGAGGTATTCTGAAATAGCCTGCTAGAAACCGCAGTGAAATACCACATCATATCCTTTAGAATGGCCACCATCAGAGAGGGGAGAGGAAAGAAAAGAGGAAGGAATGAGAAAAATAGAAACTTATGAGTGTTGATGAAAATGTGGAAAACTGTAACTCTGAGGAGTTGCTGCTGGGAGAGTAAAAGGGTGTGGTCACTGCAGAGCAGAATGGCAAGTCCTCAGACATGTAGAGGGGAGCCAGCAATCCCGTTTCTGGGTATGCAGCAGAAAGAAATGAAAGCAGGGACTTGAAAAGATATTTATACACCTATGTTCACAATAGTATTATTCACAATAGCCAAAACATGGAAGCAACTCAAGTTTCCACTACCAGTTGAAATGGATAAATAAAATGTTCTATAAACATGCAATAGAGAGACATTCAGCCTCAGAAGGGAAGGAAATTCTGTCATATGCTACAACACGGATGGACCATGAGGACATCATGCTGGGTAAAATGAGCCCATCACAGAAGGACAAATATTGAATGATCCCCCTCATATGAGGGACCTGAGTAGCAGAGTGTCTAGAAACAGGAAGTAGGTATTGGTTCCCACTAGCTGGAGGGAAGAGGAAATGGAGACTTATTGTTGAATGAGTCTGATGTTTTCAGTGTGGAAGATGAAAGAACTGTGTGGATGGACAGTGGCTGTGGTTCACATAGATATGTCATGAAGTTCTACAGGTACTTCATGCCCCAAGTTGTGTGCTTGAACATGGCTCAAATAATAAATGTTATACTATGGATATTTTACCGCAATTAAAAATAATAATTAAAACATGTGTAATTGTCCTTTGAATTGAAGACGAGGAGAATGGAGACACAAGGATGCCTGAAGAAAGAGCTTTCAGAGCACAAACGAATAGCAAACTAGCTGTTACGGTTTGTGTCTAGATGTCCCCCATAGCCTCCTTCAGTCATAGGTGGGGAGTTTCAGAAGTGGCTGGACTTGGGTGTGTAATGCTGGAAATAAGATATGATGCTGGGATTAAGGGTACCCCACCCTGGGTGTGGGTGGCACCACCCAAACAATAAGTAACCTGGAAAGGATAAAAGGAACAGAAAAAATGCAGGCCTGCTGTTGCTTTGCTACTTTGCTGCTTTGTTGCCTTCTGCCTGCCATGGACTGTTTCTCTTCTGCCACACCACTCTGCTTGGAGCCAGCTGAAACCTCTACCAACTGTGAGCTAACTAAACCTTTCCTCCTTTAACTTGTGAGTGTTGGATATTTTGTCTCAACAATGAGAAAAGTAACTAAGGCACTAACTTCCCCCTTGGGACACAACTGAGACCCTCCTGCCTGCGGTGGGGCAGGAGAGAAGACAGAAGAGCGAGGACACTAAGGGAAAGCCCGTGGGCAGGCATCAGTGCTCTGTGGGACTCAGCACTTCATTTCAACTGAAGGTGACTGGATGAGGTGGGAGGAAGGAGACGGGGCTCCTAGGAGCCTGGAAGAGGGTGCTGCATGCTGCAGGTTGTGCAGGGCTTCATGTGTCCCTCTACAAGCATCCCTCTGACGCCAGCACTGAGCCCTCAAAAGCCCAGGCCCCAGGGGCACCTTGATCCCAGCCCTGCCTGCATGCTCTGATAGTGATCTTACTTGCATGAGGAAATGGGTCTTCCAGAGCTCTGGCATAACAGCAGATCAGCACTGTCATTTCTGGAATGGGTGGGTGGAGAGTCTAGGAGCTGTTTCTTTTATCACACACTTACCTTAGAAACTGGCTGCTGCTCGGGGCAGAAACCCTACCCAGGCCTACAGAGGATCTCGCTGTGGGTGGCCCCATCTTGATCTGCAGGGTCTTGAATTGTTTTGGATTTGACTTCTGAGCTCTTTGTAATATTGAGAAAGGCCTAGCTATGCTATGTGTCACATGAAAGCCCAAACTAGATTCTAAGAGTTACTTTGAGTCTTGGTATCATTTGTTCATCACTCACTGATCACATATTGAACGTGAACTATGTCCCAAACATGAGAGTAGACACTGGGAATAGTGGGAATATATATCTTACCCTTGAGTGACTCACAAATCCAAAGGCAGAATGCAGCAAACTGTGAGTTATACTGCAGTGTGTTACATACTACGATGGACTGGTAAAAAAAAATAAATAAATAGGCTCATCTTTATGACTACTGCATGCTTACTGGGTGTCAGGCCTTATACTGAGTGATTTAATCCTTAAGAAAACACTCCAAGATGGGCACTGATATTGGTCCATTTTGTAGATGATAACTGAGGCACAGAGAAGATCATGTGAATGGGAACACAGAGCAAGATGGGGTAGGTCCCTCTTCGACCAGGGGACACCCAGCCTGGGTCCAGGGGCTGTCAAGAAGTTGGCCAAGCTGAGAAGGTGAGGCTTTTCCTCAGTCAGATGTCCACCCAGCAAATTTTTGAAGAGACAGTGCTGGGAGGCAGAAGGCTGGGCCAGGACATGTGCATTCCAGAGAGCAGAGGGGAGGGGAGGCCAGGATGGAGGAGAGTGTGGGGAGGCCCTGGGTCAGGACAGGGTGGGGACAGAGGACCCAGTGTTGGGGTTTTATGAATGAGGTGACAGGGATGCAATGACTAATCCAGGGTTTTCTCAGAAGTTTTGCTTATGGTTTGGGTGAACTCATGAGCCTGTAGGAGAATCCAAGGAGCCCTCACTGCCTGGCCTGCTGACCCTGCTTTCACCCTTCCACCCAGATCAGGTCTCTGCTCTGCACTGGGCCACAGCAGCCTCAGCCCCATGATTGTGTTGGGGGACTTGCTGATCTTTGCGTTCCCCTCCGGTTGGTCTGTGGCAGGCAGCAGCAGAGTGAGTGGGGAGGAGGAGCCAGGGATTCCCCCCTCAGCGCCCCATGCTGTGCAGCCAGGGTGAGTCACAGGCTGGTTCCTCTACAGCACAGCGCCTGCTTCTGCCCTCCTCTTTGCCCAGCTCCATGACTCCAGCTGCAGCTGAGCCTCCTCTTGTCCAGCTAGGCAGAAGGCTGGTAGTGACTCCCACTGTATTTCCCATGGCTGCAGGTCTGTGGCTACATCAACAATCTCGGGGGCTCTGTGCCCCTGCCCTGTCCCTGTAAATTTGCCCTCTCTAGACCCACTTCAGAAGCAGAGTGAAACAAGCCTTCTTTTTCTTGTTGTTAATTAGTCATGCTGAGAACTTGCCTGGTGAAAATGACCATTTATACAATTCTTATTGTGTGTTTGGGGCTTTCAGGGCATTTACTTTGCATGTAATCTTCACCAGAGCCGCATGAATTATAGACCACTTACATCCATTTCCAAGCTGAGGAAATGCACAGGCACGGAGCTGCTGAGTAGCTTGCCCAGCACCGGGCAAGTCTTCTGCTCAGCATCACATTGCTATTCAGGCTCAGTGTCAGAATTCAGATCCAGGTCTCTGGGTCCCAGAACTCTTTCTCTGCCCACTGCTCTGGGTCACTGAGTAAATCCTTGCAAATTCTTAATTTTTCAGACTCTCAAAAGTCAGAGAGGGCAGCAACAGTTAAATTTCCTGGGCCGAGGGGAAACAGGGTACTCATGGGATGAGAGGTCTTCAAGTAAGATTCCAGCAGTGATGGAGCCACCATGGGGTGACAGCCCCCCTTCAGCATGTGCTGCTCCTGCTGTTCCCTTAGGGAGGGGAACTCAGCCCAAAGAGTTTCAAAAGAAGAGGAAATTCATCCCCCTAGACCCACAGCAGAAAGCACAGGGCTTATTTATAGAGAAATATTTTATGATTTTAAAAAATCACATGTAGTCTTGTGTACCACTTCTTGGGGAGGGCCATTGTGGGAATGGTTGGAGAAGCTACCCTGTGTGCTTTATTTTTGAGACAGTGTCTCACTATGTAGCTTAGGCTGGCCTTGAACTCACAGCAATCCTCCTGCCTCAACTGCCCAGTGCTGGTTTACAGGCCTGCACCACCATGCCTAGCTCACCCTGTGTTTTTGACAGCACTATGGTGGAGAAGTCTTCCCCAAAGACAATATGCAGGGGAAGGAAAGGCAGAGCCAGTGTGAGGTTTGAAAATGCTGTGGTTTGCTTTTTATTTTTGTTTATTCATATTTGATGTTGCTGGGTCTCGAGAAGGCAGTAGAATGGATTCTTCTTCTTGTTGAAAATGCAGTTCCTCTTGGACAGCAAGTTGCAGGACTCCCCTCTCCTGGTTTATGCCTTTCCCACTGCTCAAACCTCCTGCCCAGGCCCAGCTGCAGTGAGCAGCAGTATAACCTTGGGTGTCAGCGCCATTCCGTCCCCAAGCCCCTTGCTGCTTCAACAGGAATGGTTGCCTGTATCCTCAGTGCCAGGGGCCTAACCCTCATGGTCTTATTTCTTCTCAACAACAACCCTTTGGGGACATGACCATGTTCTTCAAATTGTGGCTTTTCCCCAAGGATAAGAAGAGCTAAGGAGTGTCAGGAGTATCTTACACACTAAAGCACTGTGAGTCGAGTGAAGGTTACTCTTATTCTCAAGTGGAGTCATACAAGTGATGCTGAAGAAGTGACCAGTGGTGCAACCTCTAGGAGGTGTTGCTGTCAAGCACAGTCATGCTTTGATTTGTTTTCAGTCAGTACAACGGCATGGGTTAGAAATCTTCCGTACCACTGAGGGCCGGAGAGCCTGCCTGAATGTTGAGTGGTGTCGTTTGCTGGGACTCTCCCATTCCCATGCCTTTAGGAGTCTGAGGCTAATGCCCTCACATGGTGGAGGGCACTTGTGCTGTCCACTGCCAGGAGACCTCTGCCAGGCAAGAGTGAAGGTCTGCTCCTTCCCATGCTGATAGCTATGCTTTCCATTCTGTGTCAGGGACTAGCTTCAGATTCACTTTAAATCTTGGGTAAACCCTTTCAAAAATATGTCTTCAAATAGGTTACAGCCCGTGGTCCACCAGTGTGCGACCTCTTCTATTTTGTGTGTTCGTATGTGTGGTTTCTGTCCCTCTGCTTACTGAAGTCTGGACAGCTTCCTAATGTCCACCGGACACCACAACCATGCAGGCATTGCTCAACCACACCTGAGCATGGGAAGTCATCCTACTGGTCAAGCTTCAGCATCCTCATCAGGAAAAATGAGATGTCTACGGGCTGTGATGAGGGGGAGGCTGGAGGGCAGCTGGAGGAGGTTTAGCTGCGGAAGCTGCTCAAATCTGGGAATTTCATGCATGCCTCACAGATCTTACCTACATCCACAGTGAATATGGCCATAGTCCCTCTAGGAAGCCTCCTGCAACTTTTCCATGCAAGGGAACCCTTCTTCTAAGAGCAGCAGCTCTGTGTGGCTTTGCAGTGAAGCGATCACCCTCGGTGTTGCCAGGTAACGTGTCATATTGCCTGAATTTCATCACCAGCTTGCTGCAGCCCTTCTCTCTCCTTCTCAGGCACTACCTATGTGCTTCTCCACTGCACAGGAGTGATCAACAGGACTGGCACTCTACTGGGACAACTGGTACACAAAGCTGGGTACCCCCAAGGCAATAGGTAAATGCGGTGTTCACAGACACCATGGAGACCAGGCTGGAGAATGGATGATCAAACTGAGCTGCACTTCTACTCCTGGAAAAATACTATGTAGTGCAACTTGCAGGGGAAAAGCAAGTGTGGTAGGCTGAAAATGGGCCCCAGATATAACAGACACTAACTGTTGGAGGCTATGACTGTGTCCCAGGAAAAGATGGGATTAAATGAAGGATCTGGACTTGGGAACTTTTTGTGGGTTATCCAGAAGGAACCTAAGTGCAGGCACAAGTATCTTCATAAGACAGAGGCAGAGGGAGAGTTAGCATAGACAGAAGAGAAGGCAAGGGCTGGGGATGAGGGTTCCAGCACTATGAAGAAAGATGAGGAGGAAGACGAAAGGAACAAAAAAAGAAGGAGGGTAAGGAGGAGGAAGAGGACGAGAAGAGGAAGAAAGAGGAAGGAGGAGAAATAGCAGTGGGGGAAAGAAGCAGCAGAAATAAAGAAATACAGGTAGGTATGGAACTTGCTGGAAATGACCTTGAAGACACTGTCAAAAGCCCTGAGTGTCTTTTCTCTGTAATGTCACCCTTTGGCTATTTCTTCTTGAGACTTCACATGTTCGAGCCAGGACTTCTACAGCTGGAACCATGCAGATACTCAGCAAGAGGTGGCTGCTATTCTGTTAATATTATAGGGCAGCAGGCATCATAGCTAGATGGCGGGATGAGTTCTCACTAAGTTTTAACAGAACACAAGATCTGGTCACTGATGTGAACTTCTGATGAAATTCTGTAGGAATCCTCTTGACTCACATCACAGGAGAAAACAGTCAAAGGGAGGCACTGAGTTTTTGTTTTGTTCTCAACTAAGCCACAGAGCTGTTAAGTGGCATCTGGCTTAGCAGAAAGTTATACATTTAGTCATTTTTAAGTTCAAAAAGAAAACATCCCAACAGTCTAAGATTGTTCTGTCACTTTCTTTATTCTGTCCTGTGACCTTTGGGAAGGTTTTCACCTTTATAACTCAGTTTCCTCATTTATGAAGCAGCGATACCACCTTCTTCAGAGATGTTTTCGTGCAGTAGTTGAAATAACGTGCAAAATTGGGAGTTTCTTAGCACTCTCATGACTATTTTTTATTATGGTTACTCAGCTCTTAATGATGCCCATTAATTTTGGTACAGTTTCACCTCCTGCACTCTTGGACCGCTTAGCTCTGTAGGCAGGAACCTTGTGGTACTAAAATAACAGAGCTTGGTGGTGCAGAGAAATGAACTTAACAGACAGTTCTGAGAACCCTCCCACTCACAGCCTTTGCTGGCTTCATAGCAGTGGGGCATCTATGCAAACTGAATCTCAGGGGCTGGGGATTTAGCTCAGCAGCAAAGCGCCTGCCTGGCAAGCGCAAGGTCGTGAGTTCGGTTCCCGGTACCGGAGAAAAACCAAAACAAAAAAAAAAACAAACTGAATCTCAGCTTCCTCGACTGCACTCAAGGCTTTTATCTTACAGGACTGGTGCAAGGATTGTACAAGAGGATGCATGTAGGTAGCTTAGTAGAGCTGGCATGTAGCAGACACTCCATCAATATCCAGTGAGTTAAATTCCTTTGCTCATATTCCCATTTAAAAATGGAGAAAGAAGTTGAGGGGTCTGAGACCACGATGGACATTACTGGGCTGTCCACCTTTGTGTTCACTTTATCAGGCCAGGTCTCAAGCTGCCCTCCTTGCAGGGCAGGTGGACTTCTCAAGAAGCAGTTCCTCTCCTCCAGAAACTTGAGGTATCGCCTAGAGAAAATTCCTCCCTTGGCTAGGAGGCAGTTTAGCTGTGACCTTTCATAGGCAAATTTACCCAAAGCCTGCTAAGCAGGCAGGGTTAGGGGGACCTCCCCGCCAAGTGCCAGGACTTCGGGAATTTCCTCCAGACCCTTCCTGGCCATGGTCGCGCCTCACTGACCTCCTTGTGGTCTCTGTCACGCAAAACTGCTCTGCAAAGTTCAGCTTGAGAAGAAGAGGGAAGTGGGGTGTTTTGATTTCCCTCTCTTTTTGAAAATCGAACAACCCCAAGACTTGCTTTCAGAAATCTTAACTCAAACCAAATGCTTTTCTGACAGGGTGACCACACTGAGGAACACCCAGGGCACTTTGACTTTTCGAAGACAGCGACACTGGGCAGGAGCCAGATCGCTGCAGAAATCAAATAGTGCAGGTTCACACGCCACCAGGGACTGCTGGAATGCGGCTTTGTTCTGTCTCTGAATTTATAGGCCGACTCCTCCTTCCCCACCCCCTCAAACTTGATTTATTATAGTGCAGACGCGGTGGCATTCCTCCAACTTTATTTCTTTCTTCAGAAATAAACAAGGATTTTACAGCTCCATAACCTCCCCAAAGTTTGTTTGTTCTTCCCTCCATCCCGCGTGGGCCATGTTTGTTCCCTGGGAATGTCTCTTCTCTAATTATTTTCACATTTCAACAGCTTTTGTTTCTTTTTTCTCTGAGCTTTATAAAAATGCTGATGGTGGATTTGCTCCAGGCTAAATGGTACTGTAAACATTTTCTCCCAGGCACATGGGAGCCTTGGTGACTGGGGGCCATGTTGCCCTTTCTCATTGTGTAATGTGCCAGAAGGAAACTTGAAAATCCTGAAACACGCCTTTGGATGGCTGGAAGAAAAACACATAAATTGGTAAACGGGAAAAATCTGCTAATCTTGTACAAGGTACCTTTGGCAGCATAACATTTTGGAGACTCAGCCGAGAGAGAGGCTGTGCCGAAGATGAAGTTTTCATTTTAGTTTGGGATCCTTCTGCCTCCAAGCACAGACTGAGGTTTGTACACCGTAAGGGAGCAGCAAATTCCTGGGTTCTAGGACCGGTAACAATTTGCCCACACCTCTGGCTGTTGGAAGACTAAAGAATCTTCTGTCCCCTCCCGAGCCCACAGCCGGATGAAGGGAACCATCGTTTGCTCCAGCTTTTTGCTGGCAGCTGCTCACATCCAAAGTCCTACTGTCTCCTCTGACCACGCTGAGTCCATCCACTTGACCTGCCCAGCATCTCCTGGATTTGCCTGCTCCTGTGCCTGGATTGGACTCCTGCTTCTTTCTCAGGACGCTTGCTGAAGCCTCCTGCTCTGGTGCCTCCCTGGCGTCTCCCTGCAAGCCCTCCATTGAAAGCATAGCTTTCCATCGCCAATACTGCTTGGACCGTGCTGGGACCATGACTTTCTTGCTTAAAAAATCCCTGTCATTGCCAACCCATCATTGGGCATTTGTGCCCTCCCTGCAGCAGGGCTGGATTTGTTCTGTCACTCAGTGGCAGGTCCCCTTGCCCCTCACCCGTCTGAAGGGCTGGCTCCTCCCCGATACACAAAGCATACCTCCTTGCCCTGTGACCAGGGTGGGTGCCCTGCTTTTCAGTCTCTTCTCCAGCTGCAAACATCCGCTCAACCTCAAGCCAGTTCATTCAGACATTAGTTCCTCCGTGAGATCTTCTGAAATTCTCAAACCTGAGTCCTGTGGCCCCTCGCAGTGCTCCTGATGCAGCTTGAATGTGTCTTCACACACTGTCCTTCCCACCACCCACCTCACCTGAGGCCCTGTTGGACTCTGAGCCCTGGAGGACTGTATGTCATTCCCTGCACACTATCCCTTCCACCCAGGGTGGGAGGTGTTGCTGAGCTCATTTGAAGGGAAACCCCCTCCAGGATGTGCTGGAGGTGATGAGGGTACAGACACGGCTTTTTATGCTGCCTGGAAGACCATGGACTGGGCTGGGATCTAGCTCGAGAGGTGACCAGCAGTCTGCATGGAACAGGACAGGTGCTCTTGCTGCTGTCATAGCCTGCAAATTGCACCCCCTCAGAGTCCTTGCTTCAGAATAAAAGGGAAATAAATCATCTTAGACCTCCCCTATCTTCACTTGTAGTTTGGTCCTTGCTGCTGTGCATTTCTGCTGTCTTAGGCTAACCCCCAAGTCCATGTTTGCATTCGTTCTGTCCTTTATGACATGAGTACTGAAAGGGCCGCCCTGGCTCAAGGTCTTGCTCTCTTAACTCTGGCCTCTGTCACAACTGAGGAAGTCCCAGCTTGTCTCAAGGATGATTCCAGTTTTGTCTGGTGGCACATGTTTTATCCAACAATAAGGTGACAAAGGAGTGAGGAGGTTGGGGAGAGTGGTCCTCTCTGCTGAAGCTTGAATGAAACAGTAAAGCTTCTAGGATCTGAGAGGTCTAAACCCAGAGCCTCAATCATTCAAATCACTTCTTAGAGAATCTACTTTGGACCAGGAGTTACATGAGGTGCTGAGCTCGCAGAAGTGCTTAGTTCAGTGTGTGAGGTGGCCTTCCCACATGCCCAGCATGGCCTGCCCGCCCCTGCCCCAGTGAGAGGGCCAGAAGAGTCATGTTCAAAATCAGGGTGCAGATGTGGACATAGAGGGGTACATGGGAGCAGGTAAGACAAGAGAGAAGAGAGGCCAGGGAAGAGCTGAGTCTGGCTGCCATCAGACCTTCGCTTTCTGAGTCTCAACTTTTTGCCCTTCGCATAGGAATCAGCATTCTGGCTCTCTTTGCTGCACAGAGCTGTGAGTACCTGCCCTGAGGAGCCCTGGGCCCAGGCTGAGGTGCCAGCACACACTCGGTACAGTATCAGCAGGAGCTAGATATTAGTGGAATAAGTGAGGATGGATGAATGGTTTTTACTGTCAGCCTTACTGGAGAAGGGGTGTGAGCCCTTTGGGATACCTACTGTGCTCTTTCATATCTCAGCGTGGTGCAGATAGCCACTACTAAAAAGCCCGACATGATACATACAGTCTCTGCTAATGAAGTCAACATGGCCCACACAGCCAGTGGCAAACAGGATAGAGCACCACACTAGGGGTCCTTCTCCTTCCAGTGGGAAGGGGAGAAGTTTCTATTCAGATGAACTGGGGAGCATTCCACAGAGAAGGGGAGCTCAGAGCAGTCCTTGGGTAGGGTTGGACCATGAATTCTTAAGCTCTTTCCAGGCTTCAGGGCAGATGTGGCATTTCTGAGGAAGGCATCATGGAGAGGTCTAGCTCTTCTCTTGCAGCCTCCCGCTTCCTTTGGGTGGTAGGTGCCCATCCGGGATCTTATATCTAGAGGCAAGATCTTGGGAGGAGTTCTCTGTGGATGGAGAGTAGGTCCTCTTCATCATCTCTGCCTGTGTGTCTAGATCTGTCACCACACTGCTGTGCTGGGGCTTGGTGTGCTTCCAACTCTTTTCCATGCTCCTGCTCATCCCCTCACCCCCTCTGGTGCTCCGGTTCAGTCTCTCTCTTTCTCCCTTCCCCCTCCCGCTTCCCCTTTCCCTGACTGCTGGTTGGATATAATTGAAAGTCCTATGACTCTGAGCCCCTTGAGGTGGACTTCCTGTCTCTATGTCTCACGGCTTGCTGCTGTGCTGCTGACAGCTAGCATATGACTAGTCTCGGTGGGGGTCCTGGGCATTGCTGCCTAAACCCGAATGCGTGTGGCACAGGTGTGTGGGATGACTAGCAAATACCTCCAGTTTGGGTCTGGCTGTGGTCTAAGCTCTAAAAGAGAAGTAGAAGACCTCTCTGAGAGTTACATTTATAATTTGTCTCCATGTACAAAATGCAACCAAGGTCCAGACTCTAGGGAAGAGTGTCTGGAAGCATCACCCTGGGTTCTATCACTTGGAAACATAAGTATTGGTGGGTCAGGGAGCACTACAGCAGCCTGACGTGACAGCATGCAAAGTCCCTGCCCCCAAGGGGCTTGCAGTCCCCTCTAGAAGCTCCTTGCAGCAGGAGGGGCCTTGGCCATACCCCCTCAGGACCGGTGCATGAGCCTGTCCACGTCCCTTCTGTGCCCCAGGCCATGTATGAGATGGTGAGGCCAAAGGGAACCTGAAACTCTTCCAGGCTTTGCTGTCCTTCGACTTGTGAAATTAGGTAAGGAATGGGCTGACATTTGAGAAGGATTCCATGCCAGCTGCTCTCACAGTAAAGATGGGAAGCTCTGCTCTGATTGTACTTTCCCTGCTACTACCCTGAGTGAGTCTGAGCCTTGCACTGACTCATGCGGGCCACTCCAGGACAGTGACCTGGCCTGCATGAGATGTGACTTCACCCAGAATGTATTCACCACCTATGAGTGTAGCACACAGAAGTACCTGTATGGGATTAAACCAACAGTTAACATTTTGAGTTATCAGGAAAGGACTACCTGGCTGTCTGCTTCATGCTTACATCTCTGCTTTTAGGTGATCCTCCCACCTCCCAACACACATCTCCACTGTCTGGCCATCTACCAATGGGATCAGGAGGGGCACCCCCGTCCTCTGTACTGCACATATGCATGGACTCTCAGCATGCTTACATACATGCCCTGCACAGAAGCAAGTTTGTGCATAGTCTCTCTCTGTTCCATCAGCATATTCAGACTTTCAATTTTTACCATAGACTAGCATTTGCGAGTGCTCATTGTGGTGGGCAGAATAGGCCCCCAAACAATTGTTGTGTCCTAATACCTTGAGTATGTAATATTAATATGGCAAAAAAGAATTCAGAAGCAGGTGAAATTAAGATTGTTAATAGCTGGCTTTAAGATAAGGATATGATCCTGGTTTATCTGGGACAGTTACAAGGGTCAGACAGTTTATCTGTACAGTTACAAGGGTCCTCAAAAAGTGGGAAAAGAGGCAAAAGAGTCCATGTCAGAGTGATGCAATGTGAGAAAGACACCCAGTCTTGACAACACTGAAGATAGGAGGCCATTGGCTGGGGAAAACAGGCAGCCTAATCCAGAAAAGGCAAGAACAGGAATTCAGCCTCTTGGGCTCTTGGTTTTCACCCTCTGAGATCTGTGTCAAACTTCTTCAGAACCATGAAATCATTACTGTGCATTGCTTTAAGCGACTAACTTATGGTAATTTGTTACAGCAATGATAGAAAACAACACCCACAAAGTAGGTTAGTCCCACCCCAGGGAGGTCTAGGGTCTAACAGAGGCAGTGGACCTGAGCCTGAGTGGGCATGAACAGAGTGAGAAAGGTTGTCACAGGCTAAGCCAGGCACAGGAGAAAGAAAGCTGACACTCCAGGGGCAGTGGAAGTTCTGTGAGGATGTGGACCACAGCTCACCACAGCAGCAAATCCACCATACCAGACATGCAGGGAATAGCTGCTAGAGGAAGGAAGGAGGGAGGGAGAGAGAGAAAAGTCCAGAGCAGGACCTGCTAGGTAGGTGCGGGTGGAGACGTGAATAGAAGGCGGTGGAAAGTGTTCTAGGCAGAAGTGGCAGCTCAGGCAAAGACCTGAGGGCTATTTAGAGAACGAAATAAAGTTTACTTTGGCTGGGATACAGTGCCTCATGGGGAATGAGGAAAGATGAGTCGGGCATGCCCAGCTCATGAGGGGCCTTATAGGCTATAATTAGACACTAGGCTGGTATTCTATGTACGATTGGTGTTCCTCCCCTCCCCTCTCCTCCCCCCTTTCCCCTCCCCTCCCCTCTTCTTGTCTCCTCTTGGTTTATCTGAAGATATTTTAAATGGAGGAGGTCTGGTTGGGTTGACCTCACTGATGACAAATAATGCCAATGGAAACTTCATCTTGCCTTCAGGCCGTGCCTCGGTTACTCCCTTCATCTGAGCAGTGGTTTAGGATCTACCTCAACAATGATCATTTGGGGCAAGGTGGGGTGGTCTGGCAGATGATGGAGATGGCGTCTGTATCCACAGCCATCTGATTTGACTTGATTCTATTCCATCTACTCACTGGCACTTTGCCTTCGTATCCCCAGTTTCCCAATCTGTTGAATGGGACCAGGAGAGCAGTACCAGGGCCTTCTGTATCTTCCCACCACTCTGTACCCCATTCTGTACCCCAGTGCTGCCCTGCAAGTGCCACATCAATGTACAGTGGTGCCCTCTGTACCCAGAAGAGCCCTGTCTGGGGAGGCAGCAGTAGGAGACACAAGCAGTGAAGGGCACAGGACGACAGGGGATTCTTCCTCCTGGTTCCCTGCTCTCAGGGTCTCTGAGCTCCGCCACTCTCTAACAAAGGCAGCTTCTGGTCAGGCACCTTTCCCTACACCTTCCTTCCTTGGGCTCCAGGAGCAATCCCTCTCCTTGCCTTTGAAGAGATGGCTATGGGAGTGCTGCCTGCTATGTGGGCCCAGGCTTCCATGTGCACACGGGCCTGTGATCTTCCCCATGCTTTTCATCTCTCCCAGCGACTCTGTGCCTTCCTCAATGCACTGGGTCTCTGGCTGAGACATGTTTGTTCGGGTTGTGGGACTACTGACCAACAGACCAAGGCCTCACCCAGTGAGGAAGGCTTATCCCTCTGATCACTTCTAGAACACTGTCACAAGATCACTTCTTTTTCACTCATAAGAAACTGAAAACGTCAAAGAAATTTTGAAAGTTGATAGAAAACAATCATACTCCAGACTAGAAAATGAAATCAAAACCAAGTGACGAAGCAGGGAGCTGGGCTGGCTTAGGTTCACAGTAGCTCAGGACCGTGGGGCAGGCTGGCTGGGAAGGTCACCAGCCAGCAGCAGGTGCAGGCATAGCAACCCCTGCTCTCCAAGTCATTCTGTCATTGTGGAACAGCTGAGTACCTACTGTATGTCAAGAGAGTACCTACTGTGTGTTAAGCACTTTTCCATAGTCTCAAACAAGACTGGCAAGGCTTCATGATGCTATTTTACTTGGGAAAGGAGACAGAAAACAAACAAGTAAATTAATAAATCCACAAGTTAATTTTAAGCATGAAGTGCTATAGCAAGATTGAAAAAGGATTCAGGAGTATGGAATAACCCTGTGGGGGATTTGGAGTATGTTCCTTGGCAATGTGTCTGGAGGGAGGGGGCTCTCAGAAGGGGTGACTGTTGAACTTGGGTAAGAAAGAAATGCAAAAGGCAGCTATAAGGAGGCTGGGACCATAGGAAGAGTGGTCTGGGCAGATGGACAACCAGTGCGCGAGTCAGATGGGCAGGGCTTGCTTGTGCATTCAGGGCATTAGAAATAGGGTAGTACAGGAGAACAAGGTCAAGGGTGGTCAGATTTGAATGGGATGGTGTGTGTGAGCTGCCCAGAACAATGCCTGACATGGGGAATAGGCTCAGTATGGGCTATCTTCCCCCACTTCTAAATCTTGAAGACCTACTGGGAGCTGTAAGATACAAATATCAATAATTCATGCCTTTACCTCTCAGAAGCTCAGAGTCTCATATAATAATAAAAACCTGCATTAAAACATAAATGAGCTAGGCATATAGGCATGTGCCTGTAAACTCAGCTACTCAGGAGGATTGCAAGTTCGAGGCCAGCCTAGGCAACTTAATGAGACCCTGTTTTAAAATTTTAAAAAGTGGGAGTAGCTAGGAATATATCTCAGTGTGAAGGGTGGAGGTTCACTCTCCAGTACCACAATAAAATTAAATTAAATTAAACAAGACAAGAAAAATAAATAGAACTGCAAACAAATGCTGGTGCCTGGGAGATAAGGTAGCTGTGGCTGTGGCTGTGGATGCAGAGGCTAGTATGAATGAGGACACAAAATTGCATTGGGAAAGACAATCATAGGCATGTGGGCTCTTCCTTCTCTTTCCATCACATGAGAATGGGCTTTGAGCCTGGATCACTTCCTTATGAACAAATAAAGATCCTTAGCCTGTGCTGGGATCTTAGACAGCCCATGTAGCCTTTCCCTACTTCACATTCAGGTGTACTCCTGGGCTCTCCTTACATAGGTCCATCCTACGGTACCCGGCCAAACTCACTGCTCTATCTGTCCTCTCCAGGAGGAAAGGAAGCCCTTCTGCCACAGGACGAATAAACTTGCAGCTATTTTGAGGAACCTGCTTGCCAAATCATGGAGAAAGACTCATTCCACCCAGTGCTTGCCTATCTTTTATTTCCCTTGTCTACTCCAGTGCCAAGCTAGAGATAGCAGAAGTGCTCAGACTTCTGATCATAGGTAACAGAAGCCCCTTGGCTAGTAAGGAGATGTGAATATCAGATGGAGATGTGGATGTGGACAGATAGATGTAGATATCAAGGAAAGCCTTATAAATAAGGAATTAAGTACATGGCTACATATAAAGGAGGGAGAGGATCCAGGGTAGAGCAGATGAGGATGCTACGCAGCAGACGCTAGGAGGCAGAACACATTTCCACCACTGAGAAGTTGCCAACCAGGCTGAAACAGGCTCCTAGACAAAACCAATGGCCACAAAGCAGCATAAGTGGATTATGAAGGATCTGGATTTGTCTTGTGGGCTCACCTGCTATTTACACCCATACAGTTAGCAGACATTCTTGCAGCACATCAGAATTGGAAACTCTGACTTCAGCATACCTGGCTTTATAAAAACAGGTATCCTTTCCCCCACTGGCCATGGGACAGCTGGGCAGAAATTGTCTTCCACTTGCTCTTTGCCATGACTGCTTTGAGGCCAGGATTCCTGTCCTATGATCAACAAGAGGGGAAACACAAAAAGTTCTTTTATACACTGGGAGGGAGGAGCTAGTGGGGTCCAGATCGAGCACAGAATTCCTCCACACATGATCTTCTACTGGAACTCTGTTTCACAAGAAAAATCTACTATATGCCATTGAATGGAGTTATAAGATTTAGAGCCAAACGGAAACTTTTCAAAGCAGTGCTGGCCAGTTGTCCAACAGAACTGGGGAAAAGATGTCAACAACGTACCATAGCAATGCAGTTTTAAATTGCCAGTGAGTCTTCCAGATGGAATTAGCTGTCAATTATGTCACTAAAATTACTTCCAGCCACCAACCCATACACACACACACACACACACACACACACACACACACCAAACAAAACCTTGAGCCATGGTAAGAGTTGTGGGCTATAAGACATTGTATTTTTGAAGTCATCACTCCTAAATGGAGTTTCAGAAATGTGAACATCAAGTCACCAGCTGCCAATAATTAGACAGAAGATCATTTACCTATTGAAATAATACGAAGTCCAAAGACGGGACTGTTTCCCGGACCCACCCAGGCCCCATGGGAATGTGGGTGGGCACATCTGTGAACTGCTGTCCATCCTTGGGAGGTAGGATCCAGGGCCAACTTTGTGTCCCCGGGTCATGTGAAGGGATCTTTGACAAGCTGTGGGTGACAGTGACACCAAAACGCTGTTACAGCTCTTTTAAAGAGAACAGTAGTCTGCGGTGGCAGGATCTTACATGTTTTATTTGTTTTAGAGTAAAATAATTCAGAAGAGCCCTAAAACCCAGGGAGCAAGTTCATTTTGCTTTCCCTGGTGCAGAGGAGTTGATTAGCATGCGAGGCACTTGGAAGCTCAGTGACCTTGGAGAGGTGGTGACTCAGCCGTGTGTCCTGCAGTTTGACAAGAGACACCTCCTCTCCCAAGTCATTGCAGAGGCACCGTCTTCTAGTAAGTTGCTTCGGCCTAAACCACATTTCCTGCACATTTATCTACTCCCCCTCCAGCTCCTATTGTTCCCAAGGCCATCTAGACCCTGAGCAACCCCAGCTTGGAAACCGAGGGGCAGTGAAACAGGAAAATATGACTCCTTTCTCTCCCTCATGTGTTTTTGTAGGTTCAAAAAAGCAGGTGCAAATCACAACTGAATTCAAAGCCTCCAAAGAGGCCAAAACAAATCAATCTAATGAAAAAGGAGCTCATTATAGCAAAACCTGGAGAAAAACTTCAGCTGTGGCACCTCCAGGCAATTATCGACTCCCTGGCCCATTTCAAAGCCCCTGGGGACCGCGTGTGGATGGAATGGACCCTCGTGGTCCAGCCTCACGTGAGGGCTGAGTGGGCTGTCCCCGAGCCAGATGTCTGTGGCTGTGGTAAGTGTACCGATCTCCTGGCAACCTGTGAAAGCCACAGTACCTCAGACCGAGTTTTACATTATTTTGTTACCAGGAGAGCAGGTTTGAGATGGGGGTCTGGAGATATTTCAAGCTATTTGTTCGTTGCTATGGTCATCCTTGGCTGCCCCTTGTGAGTTGGAGACCCTCATATTCAGTCTTCTGGTGTCCTAAAATCTGAAGTTTTCTCTTTTTCATCGAAATGTAGAAGCCATTAGCATGGCTTCCACTGAGTGGCAACTTCAGGTGCTGTGCTGGATTATGAAAATGAAGTTGTTGTAGGTATGGCTTGTACCCTCAGGAAGCACACTGTCCAGGCAGGAGGAAGCGCTGTGACACCCAGCCAGGCACTCTCACATTGTTGTGGCTGCCTGTGGTTCTTACTCTGCCACCCCACCCTCCACCAAATTGCCTGTACCTCGAGGATACTCTGTTCTTTGGTCATGCATCCAGTTTATACTCCCATCCAGCGTTGGATTATCTGATATCCTGATTGTCACCTTTTCCATACACCTTCTTCCAGTCCAGATGGTCCTGGCACATGGCAGGCACATGATCATCACTGGTGGAATGAATAGGTGAATGAATTCAAGAGAAATGTGTAGCACTCCACAATCAAACTGCCTTGGTTTCAATGCCACCTCCAAAGCTCTTGGGTTAAGGGAGCAAAGCTGAGTCAGCCTCCTAAAGCTCACTTTTTCTATCTATAAAATGGGAATAAAATCTAATTCACAGTGTGTGAGAATAAGCAAATTCTTACTAAGTGTTAACGTAACGATTGCCGACTAGTAAGGGCTTTATTTATTTATTTTTTGGTTTTTTGGTTTTTCTCTGGTACCGGGAACCAAACTCACGACCTTGCGCTTGCCAGGCAGACGCTTTGCCGCTGAGCTAAATCCCCAGCCCCTAGTAAGGGCTTTATTGAAGGTGCCCGGGAAACCATTGTACATCAGTTGAGCACCTTCTGTGTGCTAGGCACTGCCCTAACCTCCAAGGGGGTAAAATGAGTAGAGTAAGGAGCCTACTTTCAATGAGACCCCCACCCTGACTGGGAACGTAGAAACGCCAACAGAAATGAAAAGGTTGTCCTACTAGTAAGTGGGATATCAGGGGTGCAGGGCGCAGGGCAGGCTAGATCAGTGAGGAAGTTTGCAGAAGTGATACTGAGGACTGTGAGAGCCAAAGGGAAAATCAGACTCAGAATCTTGAAGGACCCCCATCAAGCCTGCCTGAAACACTTGTGACACGACCTTGTCCTATAGTTTGGATATGACATGTCTCAGGGGGCTCAGGTATTGGTGTCCTAGCCCACTCAGCAGTGTTCAGAAGTAGGCAGAACTTTTGGAAAGTGACTGGATCACGAGGGTGCTTTCTTCATCAGTGGATTATTAATTTGATGGATTAATTAATTGGATTAATGGATTAATTTGATGGATTAATTTGATGGATTAATCAAGAGGATTAATTAATTTGATGATAGTAGTGGGAGATGGTGGAGACTTAGGCAACTGGGCCTAGTGGAAAGGAGCGGGTTGCGAGGATGGCATCTGGGGAAAATATGGTTCTTTCCCTCTCCCTCCCCTTCCCTGTCCCCTCTCCTACCCCTCCCCTGTCCCTCTCCCTCCCACTTCCCTCCCCTTCCTTCCCAGCTGCAACACGAATATTTTCCTCCCCACTCCCCATTGCCATGATGTTCCTGCCCAAGAGCAGTAGAGCCAGGCCATGGACTGAAAGCCCTGAATCCATGAGCCAAAATAAACCTTTCCTCTTTTAAATTGCCAGTCTCAATTGCTAAGCCTCCCTTTCTTTATTCCTTTTATTTCTTTTCTTTTTTTGGTACCTGGAATCAAACTCATCCTTGTTCTTTCTGGGAAGGCATTGTGCCACCAAGCTATATCCCTGGTCCTCAAGCCTCCCTTTAGGCTATCAAGAACATACTGTGAGCTGGGCGTGGTGGGGCACCCCTGTAATCCCAGCACTTGGGATTTGCGGCAGGAGAATTATTGCTAGTTTGAGGCCAGCCTTGGCTACAAAGTGAGCTCATGGCCAGCCTGAGCTGCATAGAAAGACAAAAAAAAAAAAAAAAGAACATACAGTGGGAGAAGTCATCTAGGTTTTATCAGGCAATTGGGCCCTGGGTCCAGAGATGGAAGTTGTAATGCCTGCATCAGTAAGCATCCAGGCAGATCAAGAGGTAGCAAGTAGGTAGATAATAAAGTTTCAAATAGAATAAAGCGCAAAGCTCGTAGAGACAGCTTAGGCCATGGCAGGGGTATGCGTGTGCAGGACAGTATAGAGAGGGAACGGAAACAACAAAAGGAAAGAGGCGAGATGTGGAGAAGGTCTTAAAGCCTGAGCAGAACTGACAAGGAGGACAAAGGTTAACACAGTGGAGTATAGCAAGGGCTCCAAGTTCTAGAAAAGGAATCAACAACAAAATAGCCTAGAGTTATGGAAGGACATGGCATACTCTAAAAGTATCATGAGGAAAGGTTTAGATGCAACCCTAAGTCCGCATAGATTCTCCCTCCTGAATGGAGAGAGAGAGAGAGAGAGAGAGAGAGAGAGAGAGAGAGAGAGAGAGAGACGTCTGGATGATGGATGGATGGGTGGGTAGGTGAATAGGTAGGCAGATGGATGGATAGGAAGGTGGATGTATGGATATATGGTGGATGAATGAATAGATGGATGAGGGGTGGGCAGATGCATGGATGGGTGGCTGTCTGGATGATGGATCTCAGCAGCATCCATTCAGAAAGAATAAAGAGGATGTAAAGAGGAGACAAAGGTAAAAGTGGGCGCTTGTGCTTGAATATTAGGGCAGCTGGTGTTAAATACAATGTGTTAACAAATGCAACATGAGGTTATTTTTCAATAATCAAGAAATGAAGGTAAGAAATTTTAAAAGTTATTCTAATCCTTCCCTCAGGATAGGAAAGCTGTTCACATGTTGGTCTTTTGTGTCTTTCTGTCTATCTTATCCATGTGTCTATACACCTAGCTATGCCTACCTGTCTGTCTGTCTATCCATCTATCTACCATCCATCCAGTCAGCTATATTTTTCTAAAATAAAAAAACGGGCTTTAGAGCACTTTACATTTTATAACCTAGTTTCTCTAACTAAGTTATTATAAGAATCCAGTTATAGCTACTTTTTTTTTTTTAACTTTTTGAGACAGGGTCTCACTATGCAGATCAGGCTGGCTTTGAGATCACTTTGTAACCTGGTCTTGAACTCACAATGATCCCCCTGCCTCAGCCTCCTGAGTGCTGGGATTACAGGCATGAGCCACTACACCCAGCTAGCTACTTATTTTTTTTATCTTAATCTTTTATTACTTCTAGTCTAGACATGATACAGACTTTTGGCACTTACAGGAGTATGGCAAGTGGTGGACACGGGCTCTACCAGCTCCTCCCTCCCTGTGGGGGCTGGACTCAGGTGTCTCTGCCTCCATCCCAGTGGACTCCATCTCTGGGTGGAGGTGGCTGCATTCTGACTTGGAGACCAGCTACTTATTTTTAAACTAGATTTCAATAGCTGGATAATATTCCTTCTTTTGAAAGTGCTACAATGGGGTTAACCAGTCCTCTAATTTTTGCCATTATCAAAAGTGTTTTAATGAACATAGGTGTTCCCCCTTTGGCCATAGGTCATAGCAGAAGGGCTACCTTTCTCTAAAAGCTTATGAAGCTCTGGGTTGATTACACAAGTCTTGAACTTGAGATGGGGTCATATTTAATACTCAGACATAAATCAGCTGCTTCTGAAGTGACACCCTTCTAGTGTACCATGTCTCTCCCCATGGCCATTGGAGGCTGCTTCTGGCTGATGACTATGATCGCTCTCCTGGCATACTCGCCCAAAGCACCGTGGTTCAGAGCTGTCAACTAATGCAGCTGTGAGGAAATGCCGGGAAGGATTTATGTGTGCAGCAGTGACTCTGTGACCCCTAGATGGAAAAGCAGATGCCTTGGAAATAAGACTAGTCGATGTGGCAAGAGGAAGACGCTTACCTTAGAATAAAACCAAATATGTCCTGCCACTTCCCTGAAGCTTCCAGTGGCTCCCTGTCACTTATAGGAAAAATATCACACTGCTTAGTTCAGCAAAGAGGTGACAGGCAGGACAGAAAGAGGACTGTCTGGAGAACCCAAAGCCATAGATCGTAGCTGTTGTTCTGCTAACCACTGGCAAGTTGTCTCCTCTTAGGTTTATTTTTCTCCATCTCCAAGACGGTCCACAGGTGATACATGATCAAATATATGAGTCTGCAAAGAGTCAGAGCCACTTGCTAAAGGCCCTCAGGAGCAGAAGGGAGAGCTGAACAAGATGCAGGAGCCCTTGGCTGCACAACCTGCTCTCCGGTAGAGACCACTTCCGTGGTTCAGGGCTGTGCCATCAGGAGGCGGGGCCAGCAGCCAGAATGACCTGGAAGCCACAGTTGGAATGAGAGATGGCGCGAGTCTCGGGCTGGGCTGAGGAGAAACATTCCAAGTGGGTGGGTAGCTTAAGGCTCTGGAGCACAAGGAAGCCTGCTGTCCACCTAACTAAATGCATATTTGCTGAATGTCCCTCTGCTGGGCTCTAGGTACTCAAGGACAGACAAGAAAAGCACAGCCTCCATCTTCACTGGGCTTAGAGTGGAGCAGAGGAGACAGAGCTCTGTGCAGAGCCAAGCGACGATGAACAGGAATCCAGAAGGCTTCTGGGAACACATGACAGAAGCCTCTCTGCTCTCCCAGGAAGTCCATAGAGGAGTGGTGGCACAAAGAAGTGCCGTCAGAGCTGAAGTCAAATCAAACAACATGTAAAAAATAGAAATATTGAGGAGCCAACAGGAAACTCAAATTCCAGCCTCCCAGGGGTCTGTCCACACTTGCATTGGAAGTCTGTTGAACCTGAAGTGAGTTTGTGGAAATTTTTTAATTATTTGCATTAAGTACAGGACACTGCAGGAAAAATATACAAGATTCTTTTCAATAAAACACCTATGTCGTCGTGTTATCATCTACTGCTGAACATCAGCATCCTGCAGCAGGCTTGCTACAGCACAGAGGGCTCGGCCCAAACTCCTGAGTATCTGACACAGGAGGTTAGAGAGGGCTGTGCGGATTTGGCCCAGTAAATCTCTAGGTGACAGGTGATGTAGATGCTACTGGCTGTGGTACAACATTTTGAGAACTGCTGAGTTGAGAGGGAGCACTTTATTTTCTGGGCATGATGTTTAGGGTAAGGGCTTGCTTTTAAATTCTTCTCAAAGCTGGTAGAGAGAGCAGCAGTGTAGACAGAGTTCCCCATCCAGACCCCTGGGGACATGCAGGAGAAACCCCTTCCACCTGGGTCCCCTTCAGAGACTTTGTAGCCAGCAGACTCCAAAGAACAACACCTGCCCTTGTTTTGTGTTCTATTGTACAAATAAACTTAGAAATTTTGCTTATCTTCTGTGGAAAAATCCCAGAGGACTTTGTCAAGTGTAGTAAATGCTTGTGTCCCCCCCAGACTGATGTGTTCCAATCCTAAATATCACTGAGATGGTGTCAGGAGGTGGGGCTGTGGG